TCCTCCTCCTTCCTCCTCCTCCTCCTTCTTCTTCTTCCTCCTCCTCCTTCTTCTTCTTCTTCCTCCTCCTCCTCCTCCTTCCTCATCTTCCTCCTCCTTCTCCTCCTTCCTCCTCCTCCTCCTCCTCCTTCTTCTTCCAGAATTTGAAACAGTTCATTAAGGAAGAAAAGCTCTAAGAATGCTAATGAGTTGTGGAAGAGCTTGTACTCAGGAGTCCTGGGCCACAAATTTTATGACATTTTACAGGACATTCATCCTGTAAACTCTTTTGATTGCTAATTGGGTATATTTACTTGTTGAAGATTTTTCAAATTTATACTTATTCCTGAGTAAATTTGGCAGTTTCATCTTTCAAGGAGCATGTTTATTTCACCTAGGTGTCTAATTTGATTGTGCATGGCTATCGATCATGTTCCTTTATAGCCCTTTCTGCTTCTGCAGAGTCAGAAACAATCTGCCATTTTTCATTCTCAGTGTCAGCAGTCGTACGTTTCTCTCTCTCCTTTAGCTTCATGAGCTGCGCTAAAGGTCTTTCAACATTGCTTTATTCAAGGAACCAATGTTTGCTTTCATTGACTTCTCAAGCTTGTTCATTTGTTTTTAATTATGTGCTCATATATGGGGGGTGTTTAAAAATGTGCCTTTGGAGACCAGAAGAACACCCTGGATCCCCTGCAGCTGTAGTTACAGAAGAATGTGAGCCACTCAGCCTAGGTTCTGTAAGAACAGTGTGTGCATTTAATCAGTAAGCCATTACTTCCACCCCCATTGCTTTCCTATTTAATGTTTTGTTTATTTCAGTTCAGATCTCTAATCTTATCTTCACTTTTGTTGGCCTGGATTTCAGTTGTTTTTGTTTTTCCCACTTCTTAAGGTAAAACATAAGGTTATTTATCTGAAATATTTCTTCTTTGATCAAAAACCTAAAGTTAAAAATGAAAAGAATCTAGAACAATTCTAGTAAAGAACGTGAATAAAGACACTGAAATTATGAAAAGGAGGCAAATAGAAAGTTACAAGCTAACTGCTGGCAGGCCGTGCAGAGCTGTCTGGTGTGGCACCCCCTTTCTATTAAAAGTAAGGAGCACTTCATTTCTCCTCAGCTAGGGCCACCCTTAAAAACTGCTCTCAGGAGACACACAGGTTTATTGTATTGATACATTCTACTGAAAAGCTCAGATAACTTCATTTACTCCTTATGCTATCACAGGAACAGTAAATAAATCATTGGGCTTTTTCATATTTGGAATCCAGACCTACGTCCTCAGACACCTGGCTGTCATTCATATCCTAGCCAGTCCTAAGCACAAGAGAAGGTACTCTGTGGAAGTGTGGAGATGACAGGCAATTTGGGGGTTCCTGACAGTCTGAGACCTGGCTGACCTCATAACAGAAGAAAGTAAATATGAACACTCTCCAAAGACACATGTGTGTTCTTTCTTGGATTAGTACATATTATCTAGATATTTTCTACTCCCCGTATCATCCATGAAGGTAGAAATTTGGTTTTGTTCTTTGTTTTTTTTTTTTCTTTTCCTTGTCACACAAAGTATGTTCTTTGCTTCCCTGAGGCTATGAAATAGGCTGTTCTTATCTGACCACTACTTCAAACGCCGATGAAGAAGTTGTTCTTTCCCACACTGGGTCATTAGTAGATATCCTGTGGGCACTGGGAACATTCCAGAAAACTGAGGCATTGCAACGGAACAACAGCTGAGGCTCTTTCTCTTTGTTCCGCGATCACTCAGGCAATCTGTTCACACTGAGATCTCATTCCTCCAAATCGACCGTTCACCGCCAGCCTCACTGGCCTATCCAGCAAGGTCACTATGCGAAGACATTTCCACCACCAGTGAAACTACGGATTTTTGTATACCTTATGAAGAATAAAATTATTTTTATTGTACATCTATGTATGTGCATGATGTATTTGTGTGTGTGTATGTGAGCTAATGCATGTGCGTGCACATGTGTGCACATGCTACAACACATAGAAGTCAGAGGAGAACTTTGTGTAATCAATTCTCTCCCCTCCTTCCATTTCCACCTTTATGGGAGTCCCAGAGATTGAACCCATGCCACAAGGCTCTTAGGGGAAGTCCCTTTACCCCTTGAGACATCTCACCAACCCTAGATCTATTTAATAACAAACAAGAAAATAAAAACAATCATTTATCAATGGAAGAATTGGTTAATGAAAAATGTGGTAAGAAACCAATAAAATTTTACTCAACTGTAAGGGAAAACAAAATTATGAAACTTGTAGGTAAATAGATGGAACTGGAAAATTTATCCCGAGCAAACAACACAAGCCTGAAAGACAGACCTGCAAGCTTTCTTTCATGTGCAGATCCTAGCTTCCGGTCTTTAGACTTCTGAGTTTAACTCAGAAAACCTGTAGAAGGCAGGAAATGAGCCTGCAGTTGAGAACACATCCTGCTTTGGGCAAGGACCTGAATTTGTCTCCTAGTACCTATGTCAAGCAGCTCATAACCACCTACATAACCTAAGCTCCAGGGAATTCTAAACCCTCTGGTAACCTCCTCAGTCACCTGTCCTCACCTACACACATATGCATAATTGAAAATAAAATAAATATTTGTTAAAGAGTCCAGGCAACTAGTAAAGGATCATGAGAGTGAAAGATGCCACAAGGGAGATGGCACAGCAGAGTATAGGTGATGTGAAGACAGGGAGCGAGTAATGCTGGCAAGCGGAGAATGTTAACCAGGTATGAGAGTAGAGAAATGAGGAAGAGAGCAAATCAAAACGGCGAGTTAATCAAAATGATGTGTGCATTGAAAAGCCATATAGAAACTTGATACTTTGCAAGAAAACTAAAAAAATATGAATGTTAAGAATATGACGATCCAGTTCTCACCCCTAAACACATAGTATAGTCAATGGAATCATAAGGTCATGGCAGAAGTAGATACCTGTGATAAGCCTGCACAAGACTGCCTCTGTCACCAACCAATCACAGATTAGGGAGTGGCCTCTGCAGTCCTGTCCTTCCAAGCTGAGCTGTGGACTTCTTCTAATGGGTTCTGAGGGAAGGAAAAGAATTGTCTTCAAGTTCTGAGTCCAGTGGTGACCACCATGTTCCAGTGGATAGTTCCAGACTAGCGAAAACACACATGGCCCTGGATGAATGAAGAGAGTCACAAACAAAGCCAAAAGACAGGAATGTGGGAAAGGATTTGTAGAAAAGCAGGAGTAATGGGGTCATGGGAGGAAAAGAGGGGTAAGGGTGACAGGAATAAGAATACACTAAAGTAGGTGGTGGTGGTGCGTGCATTTAATACCAGCACTTGGGAGGCAGAGGCAGGCAGATCTCTGTGAGTTCAAAGCTAGACTGATCAACAAAGCAAATTTCAGGACAGCCAGAGCTGTTATACAGAAAATCCCTGTCTCAAGAAAAAGAAAGAAAGGAAGAAAGGAAGAAAGAAAGAAAGAAAGAAAGAAAGAAAGGCACTTCATATATATGTATAATAATGCATACATACATATGCATATTTGCCAAAGGACAAATTTAATAAAAGATTTCAATTTGGCAATTCTATTATTTTACTTATTTACTTCCTTTTTATATTTATTTATTTATTTTGTTGGGAAGTGGAAAGCATTGTGTACTCCTGCACATTTGTGTTGGGGACAGCTTGCAGGAGCCAGTTCTATATGTCCCTCATGTGGATTCTGAGGCTGGAACTCAGGTAGTCAGGCTGGGTAGCAAGCACCTTACTCACTGAACCCCCTTGGATCCTTCTTTTAAATATGTATGAGCTATGCCAAGAACAGATGGACACATTTGTTTCTTTCCACAGTGTAAGACTTTATTAACTAAACTTATTGTTATAAATTCAGAAACTACATCTGATTTCATGGCTTTAGTTCACTCAGCTATGGTCAATAACGTTTTCTTTTATTCAAATCTTAATCACCAATATTAACTATCAGATCATGAATTATAACTCTCCCTTTTCCTCCCTTCCTCCCTTCTCTCTCTCTCTCTCTCTCTCTCTCTCTCCCTCCCTCCCACCCTCCCTCTCTCCCTCCCTCCCTTCCCCCCTCCTCTTCCCCCTCTCTTCCTCTCCCCCTCCCCCTCCCTCTCTCTCTTTTGTGTGTGTGTGTTTACAGAATGGCTGTAAAAATGTTAGAAGCTCTTAAGGGATCAAATGGCCTGCAATGAAGACAGAAGCAAAGAGCTGAGGTACACCAAAGAAAATGTCTCTGTAGGAGACCAGATAAGGAATTATACTGGCCAGGCATGGTAGTACAAGTATGTGCACAGAAGTATTTAACACATGAATTGTAAATGATAACACTTTAATAGGATAGACGTGCTCTCAGGAAAGCAGGCACTTGGTGTGTATCAGAAATCCTGAGAGTCGGAATAAATCAAGTCTAGGACTTTCCTAGTCAGTCTTTTTTCCCCAAAGTTACAAAGAAAAGAAATTAGAGTGGTCAATTTTTTTAGGACCAGGGCATACCTTTCAATGACTTCCCGAGTGTCCCACCCCTAACTCCTACTGAAGCAGCCCAACCTCACCAGTGTATAAATAGTGACACTTCCTGCCCTAACTCGAACTTTTCTTCCTCCAAAATGGGCAAGCCTCACTTAACAAGATATCTCATCTTACTCGGCTATTTGAAGGGTGAGTCCTGAGAGTCACCAGTTGGTGAGCAAAGTCCAAGATCCAGCAATGGGTGAGAAGTCCCATGATGCAGGTCAGCCGTGGTAAGCCAGCAGAAAGAGCAGCCCCTGTGTTCTGTGCCTTCCACTCACCCTGTATTAGATCACTGGGACCATGACCAAAGCCCTGTTGCCCACAGAAGAAAGTTGATGATTTACTAACAGTTTGAGAGATTCCTGGAAGCTATGAAATGGGGGTTGGAAAAGTATACTCTCTTCAGAGAGTATGATTTTTATCTTTTTGGTTTTTTCCAACAGTTTTCTCTGCATCATTTCCACATGAGATAGACAAATGTGAGTAGAAAAACGGATGTGAAGATGAGTAAGAAGGAAAAATCCAGGAGGAGTGGAGTGGGGTGGGCACTGAGGGCTCAAAGTAAACCACAAATAGACATAATTCCCACACTCAGCAAGCTAGAAGACAGAATGAGCCCTAGGGGGAGAGGGAAAGCAACCGGTGTAAATCTCAGACAGAAGTGCCAACTCACTCTCTTGTCTCACATGAGCAGCAGATAAAGTACTTGTTCGTGAAAATAACAACGGTGAGTACAAAGGAACCCTAGCCTGACCGTCTTGGCACTATGCTTCTTTTTCCTTCTGCTTCCCCTCTCTGTCCCTACCATCTTCCACGCTGGAGCTTCTGAGACTTCACGTGAACTCCTGGCACGCTTTTGGTTTCTCCCATTCTAAAAGAGACACATAACCATGCTTGGAGGGGGTTGCATGGAGCCCATGACATGGTGACAAAGTCTTCCAGCGCTAAGTATGCTTCAAACTGGAAATGGAGGGGCTCCTTCGTGGTAGTGTCATCGCGCGTGTCTCTCTTCAAGTTGTGGAAATTGTGCAGTGTAGGATGTGCCACCTCCAGTTCCCTGGGGAAAAATGCTCCAGAGGAAGAGGAATATGTACCGCAACAGCAGAAGAGGCCTGTATGGTGGGAAAGATGTACAAAAGTAAGTGGTGTGGTAAGGAGGAAAAGATGGGGAAGAGGAAGCAGGATGTGTGGGCCGCGGGGATGAACACGGGAACTTCCGGTTACTACAGACAGCCTCACTTCTAAGGTAGCTCGTAATATCACTCCTGTGATTCACTATAATGAAGGAGAAGTGGAAGTGGCTGCTGAAGCTGACGTAAAACTCAAGGCTACAGGAAAAAGCCTGAAGAGATGTGGGGGGGGGGGCGCAGAATGCAGGAGAGAAAGGATGTAATACTCACCCTCAGGAGAGCAGCCATTTGGTAATGAAAGCAGCCCTCTGTGTACCTACCCAGGCTTTTTCAAGAATGGGATTCCAAGCTATGGAAACAAAGGGGCCAGTGTCAGCAACATGCCCTGGTTGCATCTCTTTCTGAATAGGGTTATATAAGATTTCTCTAGTTTTGTACCCTCAGTGATACTCAAGCCTTGAGATTCTCTGTAGAAACCTCTCTTTTACTTAACCCCTTCTCTCATGACCTTCCTACCGCCAATGAAGTCTTAAAACTGCACGGCTACTTCTTTTCTTCTGGGTAGCCACCAACTTCCAATGCCTTCCAGTCCCTCCTGTCTGGATAATGGATCATAACACCGCATGGTGATGCTTAGATGCCAGTGTGGGTTGGAGAGGGGTTGGATTACAGAAGCCTCTGTCAGGCTTGCTGATCTGTTCTTCCCTCTTCTGCAGGGGATGGTACCATCTGGTTAAACTTCATGGGCTGCTTAAAGAACTGTGCCAATGTGAAAAACATAAGGTGGGGCTCCTATCTGGTAAACTTCAGGTGTTGCCGGGGCTATGACATGTGCAATGAAACATTTTAGACGTGCTTCAACATCTGGGTGACGAGATGGCTTCTCCACAAGGACTCCCTGTGGCTAGCACTACATTTAGAAGGACTGCAAGCACATGACTCTGCCACCTACGTGTAAGAGGAAATGCACCCTTTCTCTGAAGAGCCTTCCCATTACAAAATCAATAAAAAGTGAATAAATACAACCTTATTATAGAGATCAGCATGTGTTTGAGTTGTTAGTAAACCCATTGGATGACCAAGTACTCCAGGACGAAAGAAATAATTAAAATGCAAACGATGCTCCTTCTTTTTCTTTCTTCTATTCTATGGTATAATTTTTTTAATTTTGTATTACCATGTAAAATTGTTATGCACAATAATTGGCTTTGATGTGACATTTACATACATGAATAGAATGTATTCCAATCAAACTCACCCCGTTACTCTCCCTTGTCCTCCACTCCACCCATCACCTCCTCAACTACCCCACCCCTTCGACTTTCACTTCTTGGGTATGTGCAATTCGGTAGGTTTAATTACTGTTTAGGTAGGGTTTCTATTGCTGTGAAGAGACACCATGACCACCACAACTCTTGTAAAGAAAACATTTAATTGAGGGTGGCCGCTTACGTTTTCAGAGGTTCTGTCTATTGTGATCATGAAGGAGAAGAAACATGGTAGCATGCAGGCAGATGTGATGCTGGAGCTGAGAATGCTACATCTTGACTCAGACACAACAGGAAGTTGATTGATTGTCACACCAAGGGAAGCTTAAGAAAAAGAGTCCTCAAAGCCCACCCCCAGAGTGACACATTTCCTCCCACAAGGCCACACCTACTCCAACAAAGTCACACCTCCTGAAAGTGTCTCTTTCTCGAGATTATGGGGGCCAAATACATCCAAACTACCACAAAGAGGAGCATCTTTGAAAGGTTCTTTACAGGCATGAAGAAAGCATCTCTCCTTTTCCCAATAGTCACATTCTCTTTGGTCTTTCATCCAGGTGACAGTTCCTTCTTTCTCCACACCTGACTCATGACTCCACTTCATAATGCTGAAACCCCAGAAGAGTACAGCTATAATAGGGCCCATTCTGCAATCCACAGTGTGACGGAGAAGACTCGGCAAATCCTCTGCTCTAGGCTCCGGTGCCCGGATGCATGGAAGGGAGCACTGCAGTAGTGGCCAGAGAAATCCAGTCGCATCATCTTGACTTGTTATGCCCTTCACAACATTTCCCTGAAACAGGGAATGGATAGTTGGTCCTATCCAGTGACTGGGCCCATTGAACAGCCAGTGGCGTCCCTGGACTTAGAAGCTGACTAAATCTGGCAGGAGCTGATGCTCCCTCGCTTTAGTTATATGGAAGATGGAGGACTGAAATCTCAAGGTCCAAATCAGGAGCAGAAGGAGAGCGAGCACGAGCAAGGAACTCAGGACCACGAGGGGTGCACCCAAACACTGAGACAATGGGGATGTTCTATCGGGAACTCACCAAGGCCAGCTGGCCTGGGTCTGAAAAAGCCTGGGTTAAAACAGGTCTCACTGAACATAGCGGACAATGAGGGCTACTGAGACCTCAAGAACAATGGCAATGGGTTTTTGAGCCTACTGAACCTATTGGTTTCGTGGGAGCCTAGTAGGCAGTTTGGATGCTCACCTTACTAGACCTGGATGGAGGAGGGTGGTCCTTGGACTTCCCACAGGGCAGAGAACCCTGATTGCTCTTTGGGCTGACGAGGGAGGGGGACTTGATTGGGGGAGGGGGAAGGAAAGAAGAGACAGAAATCTTTAATAAATTAAAATAAATAAATAAATAAAAATATGGAAGGTGGAGGAAGGAGGAAGACTTTACAGAACGAACTACGAAAACTTTCCCCTCACCACCCATCACCAAGTTCTGTGTGACTGAATGTGCACACTTAACACTTCCGTTCTTACTGTTACGGTAGCATAAGGAGCCCTAGTTCATTAGAGTACACAGTTCAAATCCTTGGAAACATTTCATTGCGGACAAGTAAAAATGCTAAGAACACAATCATTTGTTCTGACTTCTAAATCTTGATTCCTGGCCTTGTACTTTCTGTTCAGTTGTAAAGCAGAGCCATATATTAACCTATCTTAGAGTGTATGTTACATCCAATTTGATAGGCAATCACTGTAATGCTTGATTCCAAATCATAGTTTAACTGAGGTTTTATTGACACATGCCCCCATCTCTTAGGTTATCTAATGAGATACATGGGAGATCAGTACTCTTCACAGCCATGAGCCCACTACTGCATCTATGTAATAAAATGGGTTCTTAGGTGCTATGTGAGCTGTCTTGGCACAGACTGGGGCTTTTCCAAGCCTGCAATAATGGCATTGGAAGCACCACTATTATCGGGAGCAGCTGTATCTAAGATGTGTGCTTGTTCCAGTACAAATAACTTCTACCCATGATGTTCAGGATTTACCTCCAGCCAGAGTGTTAGCAAATGACCCTGAATTATCTTAAAGCTACAAATGAAACAAATAACCAATTGTTATGTTAGCAATTTTTTTCCTTCATTGTTGTCTTTCAGGAACATTTTTAATCAGAGTTTAATTCTTCAGTCATGGTTGACAGAATATTTGTAAATTCTAATTTCCTCCTTATCAAATCAGTTAGCTATGAAATCAACAAACTGAGAGAGTGTGCACACGCACAGTAAGAGAGGAAGTAAAGAACAGAGCCACCTGGGTGTTCGTGTCATGAACCGTGCATTGGTGACCCTTTGAGTCTGACAACCTACTGGTCATTTTCCTGTAAGAATTATTACTTCACACACCCAGTATTATGGCTCAATGACCGGAAAAACCTGCACACTCATGGTAGCATGCCCACCTAAATGATCCACAGTTAGAAGAAGTGAGGCAGTGAGAGATTAAATTTTAGTTGCCAAAGTCATAAATGCAGGAACCCCCAGGTGTTTGATTTGCATACAGGCAGCTCTGGAAAATTCTCTAGAAACTGGTCTTGCTACAAAGAGCTAGAATTAAATACACCTGCAAATAGTGTAGAAAATATAGGGAATAAAGAAAAGGTGGCGCAGAGAGGGTCATGGGAAAGCTCATCATAAAGAAGTTGCATTTGAACTTAGAACTGTAAACTGGCATGATTGGTCAGGGTGAGGGGCAGCGGGGAGATAGAGTCATGTATAAGGATTGTGCCTCCTCTCCTGGTAAGGAGAGTGTGTGGAGCAGCTGAGCAGAGTCCCTCTCAGGACATTCTAGTTTCTGTCATTTGTTTCTGAGCTCAGTGATTTATTTTCTCCTAGCACTTAGGAAATTAACCGTGGCCCTCGGGGTTTTAGGCAGTTCTGCCCTAGGTTGAGAATTTGGCTTTCTGTTTAGGGGTGAAGTAAGCTTTCCTTCTTTACAGAGACTCATGATATAGGAGAGGAGGACACTGACAGGTCCCTGTGAGATGGAAACGGAGCATGGTTTCTGTCCCTCCCTCTCCGAGTCAACCCTGGAGAAATTCTGAGGTTGAGTAATCTTCTGAATCAACTCACCCTCAACTACAGCGATTGCTGCTGTGTCTTTGAAATCACATGTCTGAGCTAGCATTTGTTCTTCTCGTGCAGCACTGAGACCCACGTCATTTCCTGTTGCCAGTCCCTTGGTTAAGGGTTTTCATGGCATGTTATTCTTCTCCCCTGATCATAGTGTCCTGAGTAGATGCTCTTGCTCACTGCACCTAGATAAAGGTATTTGGTTGTCCTCAGTGTTAGCAAGATACCTGTATGTTTTCCTTTCTTTGCTTACCCATTCCCTCTGAGGCAGGGTCTCTCTATGTAGCCTAGCCTGGCCTTGGACTTTTGATCATCCTGCCTCAGCCTTCAGTGTGCTGGAATTATGGGTGATTCACCACTCCAGTCTGTAGGTTTTATCTTATTAATCTATTATCCAGAAACTTTCTGTTCTAAGGTCATAGCACATATTGCCTAAAGTAGTGAAATCAGGCATGGCCTGTAATGTTAGAGAAAATTCTGCTCTTGCCTGTTTCCCACGCATCACTGAGACTTAACTAATTTGATAGCTTAAATGAGAAATTTGGCATCATCCATACTAGATTTTTAATGTGAAGCTACAGAGAAATATTATGAGACAAGACATCCCTCAACTGCCCATCACTCACCCTTAGTAGCTATAGATTACATTTTAGGGAGTCTGAGTCACCACAGTATGACTTTTCTTTAAGGTATCTACCTTATTACTATGATAGAGTCAGGATTCACTAAAGAATCAGAACTGATAGAATGAATATATACATATATTCAAACACACTCTCACACACACATGGATGCACAAATCCAGCTTTTTTAAAAATTCATTTATTTATTGTATACACAATATTCTGCCCATATATATGTTTATATACCAGAAGAGAAAGCTAGCTCTCACCATATTATTGCTGAGAATAAACTCAGGACCTCTGGAAGAGCAGAGCCATCTCTCCAGCCCCAAATCCAGCTTCTTTTTGCTTTTTTTGTATTAAAATATGTCTATAAAGCTTGTTACCTTTGCATTTATTTTTCCTCTCTAATTTTTTCCCGAAATTAAGCTTATGAACGTAATATTCATATATATATATATGTATTGTTATTTTAAATATATTTTCATATTAATACATGTATATGATGTATTTAGCTCAAATCCTCCCCAATCCTTCACCTACTCTTATCCCCAATACTTTTTCCCTTAACTTTGTGTGCTCTCTCTTTTTGTCACTACCCTCTGAAGCTATTTAGTGCTTCCTGAATGTTCGTGGGTATGGGATCATCTACTAGGTCATGGGTCACCTTTCAGGACCTGTATGCCTAAAGAAAACTGACAAACACTCCCCAAGAAGCTATCAGTAGACAATAGCCCCTCGGACTCTGGTGGGATATCGTGAACTTCTGACACACCCATGCTGGGATTTTGTCTGACTTGATCTTGCGTAAGTCTTGTGCACACAGTCTCAGCCTATGCAAGTCTATATGTGCAACTATGTTGTCGTGTCCAGCAAATGCTTTTTCCCCTACAGACATCTGTGCCCTGTGGTTCTTACAGTCTTTCTGGTTACTCTTCTGTGATGATCCCTCAGCCTTGGGAGAAGAGGGTATGATAGAGATGTCTCACTTAGAGTCAGGCATTCCAGTCTCTTATTCTCTACACTTTGAGAGAACATGGGTCTCAGTATTAGTTGACATCAACAAACAAAAAGAAGCTTCTCTGACAAAAGTTGAGAGTTGCATAACCTATGGATGTAAAGATAAGAATTTAGGGGCAGTTTATTACTAGGTCCATTTACAGAGTTAGTTGTAGCATCCCTAGCACACAAGTCATTTCTTGTTGGTAATGGATTAATCACGGGTTCTGGAGTCTTTGTTTTCTTTATTTGCATATCTGGTATCATAAATGACTATGGATATTGTGTTATGTGTAGTAACAATTTATATTCCTCCTTTGTATTCTTGGTGTACTTTATTTAATTGTTCATTTCTTATTATTTAATTTGTAGTTGACCTTATATTTATTTATATGAAAGAACTTTGGTAAATTTAGGAGACAAACCATCAGATAATTTTTTCTAATTACATTCCTATAATTTTTCCAAGAGGAATGATTTTAATTTATCAAGTATTTACTTTAATGTGTGGTTAAATCTATCAATCATTTTAACTGATAACTTAGTTAGAAAAGCTTTTCTCAACCATTAGATATGTAGACACTTTAAAAATACTAATAGTGAGGACAGAATGAGAATGAGAATGGATTCTACAGATCTTGAATTAAACTGTAGTTCTACCATTAATGATTTGTAGTAAACTGTATTTTCCAAAGATTGCTGTAACCATATCTCCCATATCACAAGCTTTATAGAACTTTCTTCCCTCTAGTGGAGGCAGGGAATCAGTGTAGTGCAGCAAACATGACCCCAAGGCTGAGGGGGGGAACAGGATATAATCTCCAGTTTCTGTTTTTTTTCTGTCTGAGACCTTGGACATCAAGGAGAAGAGACAAGCCCCAGTGTTTACCTACAAAATTCTGACACACAGTTCCAGTGAACACGATGTGTGCTCAACAATGTGTTACACAGCACTGTACTATGGTTTCAACATGAAATGTCCCTCATGGGCTCAGATGTTTGAATGTTTGGTTCCAGGCTGGTAGCCATGTTTGGAGAGACTTTGGGAACTGGTGTAGAGAGCCTAGCCTGCCACTCACAGCTTTGCGGGTCAGTAGCTCGTTCCTGCTCCTGTGCAGTTTCTGTTCCCTGACCTTCCCCATATGTAAACAGTTCAGACTGAAGTCTCCTGTCACATGAGCCCGTACCATTCACTGTGAACCTGAAACCGAGAGCCAAAATAATACGTTACTTCAGTCAAGGACTTGTTTGATCACAGTGATGAGAGTAGTCAGGACTGGAAAATGTAATTTTCTGATACTCATCTACTTATTTCACTAGCCTGCTATCAGATTTCTTATCTACCAATTTGCCTAGATTATAGAAACTCTGAAAAGCATGTGATATTATATAGCTATACATATATATAAGGTATTTAGAATTTGTTTAGCATATATTAAATGATAATAGACACAACATGTTTTTAAAGTCAAAGTTTATTTGATTTTTTTCACAATAATAGCTTTAATACATGTGAAATTCATTTTGTATTAATTATGGAGTTGTGTGAATTATTTATTGGTCAATTCCAGATCCACAGGTTACTGGCCCAAGTACAACTCTTAAGACGATATCTGTAAAATAATCCCTATGTGACTACTCTACCACATCAGAGTCTCCTCTTTCATGAGTTATGCATTCAGACCCTGCACCCTCTCTCACTCAAGAGAAACAAAACACACCTTCATTTTCCAACCTGACTCATCTTGTTTGGGAGCTCCATTCTCAATGACTGGGTTGTTTCCTCTTAAAACTTAGAGAATAAGGCTGTGGGTTTGATTCCCAGCATCATACCACACCCTCTAAAACTTAGGGGGGGAAATGAAGTAAAGAAGTGAGGAATGAACATGTTAATGGTCTTAGTTACAGACTGGCTTTAGACTTGTCCCATTATAAAATGTATTGGGCACAAATTATACCCATCTTAATCCCATCTTAATCCAAGAGTCCAGACACTCATCAGCCAATGACTACACCCAAAGTGAGAGTTTAGCAAGTGGACAAAGCAAATCCTGTTTGGCAGAGACAAAAAAAATCTATAGATAAGTCAGCAACAAAGTTTTCAAAAGTCAAAGATCCATGCAACTGAGCACCGACAAGGACAGTCTGTGAAGGCACCAAAAACACCCATGTCTGCATAAAACCCAGTGCTATGCGGCTCCTACTCCTGCGGTCCACTCAGGAAGCACAGAACAAATTTCTAATTAATGACAACTCTTCATTTTCAATGAAATTCAGATTTGGCTTTGTTAAACATTGGTTCATGATCTTTTTAAAAGTTATTTTGAAACTCAGTGCTAAATAATAATTTTTCCTACACTGACCTCTACTATCCTCATGTGTCCAGATACACCAAAACCCCAAGACACAAACTCAAACGCCCACATTCTATTGGCTTTTCCAAACTACTTGTCTATTCTGAAAAATTGTTTCCATGGATTTTGGTTTGGTTTGGTTTGGTTTGGTTTTGGGGTTTTGGTTTGGTTTGGAGGGGGGTTGTTTGGTTGGTTGGTTGGTTGGTTTGATTTGGTTTGGTTTGGGGTTTTTGTTTTGTGTTTTTATCTATCCTGGCTATAAAGTCCAAATTGAGGATTCCCTCCCCCCACAAATAAAAGCAACAAACTGCATTCTAAGACACAAGACAAGGACAGAAGTTCATTGAATTCTTCAAGTAGAAGGACAACTTGTTTATTGGGGAGTTTGTTGTGGCATAATACAGTTGAGAAGGCTCATAAGAATCCAGGACCAGCACTTACAGTCAGCTTCCTAACCAGAGAACTGTGGTTGCCCTCTGTTCATCCTGGCCCCATGTGTCTGTGCGGCTCTGCTTTTGTTTATTACTTGGTACTTGATTCATGTAGTGCCTGCATATCCCTCCTCTTACTGATGTTAACTTCTAGTCTTCCATTCTTTCTGCTACTCATAACATTATCTTACAGTGGCACACATTATTACCCAAACACCATGTCCTAGTTAACTTTTTCAACTTAGTACCATCAACTAAGAAATTGCTTTGATCAGATTGCCTTGTGGACATGCCTTTGGGAGACGATCTTGATTATTCTTATGGACATAACCAGACCACTGTGGGTAGTATCATTCCTAAACAAGTGGTCTTGTGTTGTATGAGAAAACTAGCTAAGCAGAGGCCGGCAGATACACTATCAAGCATTGTTCCTCTCTGGTTTCTGCCTCCAGGCTCCTGCCTTGAGTTCCTGTCCTGACTTCCCTCCATGATGGACTAAGATCTAGAAGTATAAGCCAGATAAACCCTTTCCTAGCTTCAGATGGTTTGGGTTAGAATGTTTTATCCCAGCAACAGAAATGAAGCTAGAACATGGTACCTCATGCTATTGCTACATGTTCTGTTACCTTTAACTACAATAGAAACCCATTTTCCCTTTTTTCTTCATTCCCATCAGAAGGAGTTGAATAGCCAATTTTGAACAAGGCCTCAATTCCCAATCCAATCACCTGGTTCAACCAAGAGCCTTGATAATACAAATCAGATCCACACACACTTAACTGTTTCTGCATCAATGACAATTTCCGAAAGTTTCTAAAGTATTGTTGTTTAATCTCTCTGTTTGTTTAGCTTTTTCTCACCAGAGATATTCCCCCATGAAATCTAACAGGCAAAGGTTTGGATCAGATCATCAGCACATTGAAAAGCAGGAGTCATCTCCTCCCTACCTTCAGAATTCATGAGAGAAAGGATTATGCCAGGAAGTCACAGAGCTAGTCAAAAGAGAATCCCAATTCAGTTGGTACAGAGGAGGTCAGAGTATACACACAGATTTCTCTTACAAAGTTAGGATAACATTTTGACCCAGGACTTTATGTTTTCATATAGGGGCTAACTAATTCTCAGCCTATTCATGACTAGCAGCGTTGTCAGCAAACCCAAGTGCTCTGTCAGATATGAGAAAAACAATTGACAAATATTTGCTTGGCAATGAGGTTGAGCTCCCAGCCCAATTTCTCCCATGACCACTCCCCTTTTCACTGCTAAATGACTTTCTCATTTACCATTAGTTAGGAGAGGAGAGCAAATACAGACTTTTGAGGAGAGGGAGTGGGTAATACGTTGAAGAATGATGCCAAATCCATAGGAACTCATAACTAGAGTCCCACTGGGAGGTTGCAATAGCTACTATGTTTGCAACAGATGAGTTCTATTCTCTTTTCATAACTCAGGAAGTTGATGTCCTCACAGTTGGTCATACATGACAGTCTTGAATAATGATACATGCTCTGCCCTGAGGAAGTGCAAGAGAGAAAGAATTTTAAAGACCATTCAATCCTTCTATATCCCTGGTAATAGCTCATCTTCAAACCACCATAGCCTTTCTCTACTCACTGCTAACCCAGAGAAGGGATTTATTCCAGAGTTGAGTAAAGCTGATACCCCTCCATCACTCAGTGTTATCTTAGGGAAAGGTCCATCTTTCCACCCCTGTACAAGACCACTCATCCTCATCAACTCCACTCTCCCACTCATCCAAAGCACAAAGAGCACAGTTATTTAGAAGGGAAGGTATGGTTAGCTGCCCATCACTCTATTCTCTACATTACCTTTTCTTGTGAGTATGTAAAAGTTCTCAGCAGCACAGGACTGTCTATGCTTCAGTGTGCAGGAACTCATGACGTCATAGCATAGCCCAAGATGATACTTCTTACATTTATAACACATTGTTCCAAGATCTTCGAGATACACAAAGAAGCACTTGGTGAATGTAATCTCAAAGAAAATTCTGCAATTGGAGCCTTCTCCGTGGGAAGTTAAATATTAATTCATTGCTTCTAACCTTCCCCAAATAGGACTCCCATAAGATTTGAGTGAGAGAGAAACATTTTGCTTTGCTTTGCTTTGCTCTGTTCTGTTTGATACAGGGTCTCTCTTTATAGCCCTGGCTGTCCTGAAATTCTTAATGTAGTCCAGACATAGAGATCCACCTGTCTTTGTCTCCCAAGTGCTGGGAACGTGAAAGAGAAGTTTATAGACACGAACCAAAGGTCTACCATTTGAGGAGATCAGAATTTACCCAGAGGGCTCAAGTAATAAACATCTTGTCTACATGACAAGATTCTGAATATTTTGTCAGTAACGGGTAAAAGGAAACAAAGGTATTCTCACCTCCTTACTAACAGAAACAGAGTACCTGTGCCAGGAGAAGCCTAGATTCTGAGGATGCCATGGAAGGGGGGTTTACTCCTAAACATGTCACAAATGAACTATTTACCAAAGATTTTACAACAGCCATGGGCATACCTTTTCCAACTTCATGAAGGTCACCTACAAAGAGAAGAAAAATCAGTCTCCCTTGTCACAATCTCACAGACATCCACAGCCCCAGAGCCAGTTTTTAAAAACTCCTCCTTTCCCAGCATCTAGAAACTTCTTAAGGAACCACCAGCTGCATCCTCATTGCCAGGACTTACCCCAATACGGGTAAGACAGAAAAACCATCCCCAGCACAAACAGAGCGCACATCCTGCAACCCTCGCCTTCAGCAGCTTCCTGTGGAAGGTACAGGCTATTTTCTCACTTGAGAGGAGAGGCTGGCCTGTCCTTGGGCTGTTCATCTAAATTAGATCATTATTAATTTTACAGGACAGACAGTACTTCTCAGTTCCCAGGATCATCATGCCTGACTCCCTCAGGACACACTCCTGGATCTTAAAAGTGAAGTTGTGACCTCCCTGATTCCCCAAACCTGCTCTTGTTTCTGGGCTGCAGGGCTTGACAAATCTTGGAGTTGGTTGTTAGAACTCCCTTTGCCCCATCCTTAAAGGAGAGTGAGCAAACCTCATCCATTCTACCTACTGGCTTCTCCACAGCTGCATAGATTTTTTCCTATCTCCACTGCCTTTGCCATCATCTGAGCCATCGTTATCTTGACCAGCCAATGGCTTTATTGCTTGGCTTCCTTGCTTCTACTCTTGCCCAGGAGTGTGTCCTGAGGGAGTCAGGCATGATGATCCTGGGAACTAAGAAGTACTGTTTGTCCTGGAACACTTTTCAAGTAAGAACAAAGGAGGCGAATCACACTGTTGCCCTTCTTGCTTAACCAGTCAAAAGAAAAATAGCTACTATAAATACAGCAAGCGAACTGCTGGACTAATTAATTCAAAGCAAAGTATACTAAATTCTCCAGCTGCACTAAATGGTCATCATTAGTGTGACACATCTTGATCCACAATGTGACCTAATGTCAAGACAGGTCACTATTTGTTACAGAAAGACATAGAAACTGTCTTGTTTTTAAGCAATTATGTTCATGGATGGAAAAGGTCATCATGGACAGAGTATCTGTCCATCTTTTATATCTCTAAGTAGAAGACAATCAAACAGATCTGTAAAATATACTCACACAATGCCACTTCCATAGTTTTATAGATATTAACAGTAAAAGTCATGTACTTGAGTGACTTCTTTTTTTTTAGCTTTCTAGACAATACTATAATACATTCTAAAGATAAAGCTTTAAATGCTACAAGAGCAGTCATAGGCTCCAGGGAATTATTAATTCTGTTTGCATGTCACCTATAAACTGATACTTTGCCTCTGTGATTTTCTACCAATTCTGAAGAGTTCCATAAGGTCATAGAATTGGCCATGTCTCCACAGATGGTATAAAGTTAATGAAGTTCCTATATGTTGTTTTGGTTCTTTGCTAAATTTTCCTTAATTTTTGTAGACAGCATCCACAAACATTAACCCATTGATTCAACTCCTTAGTGAAAGTCTTGTCGCCTGTGGGTGTCCACTCTAATTCCTTGATGACGCCTTCTTCCTTCTCTCACTGCCCCCACCACTGGCTGCCTGGCTCCTGGCCACTGCATGTTCCTGGAAGAATATCGGAAAGACCCACTTCTTCTAACAGGGAACCTGGGGATCAGAAAAGGGAATGAGAAGGTCTGGAGAGGCACTACTGAGCATAGTTCTTGCCTACTGCTGCCACATGCCAGCCTTTCCTGGCTCTTGTTCATTCCCCCAACATTTCTCTCTTAATAAAGTAATGGCATCTCAACAAAACACAGAATGTGCTATCTGAAATGCTGAGAAGTCCCTGTCAATACTCTTCCAAACCTCTCTATTTTCTCATCAACCAACGGCAAAATATGATTCTTATGATTTCTTTCTTCACTCTGTGCCTGACTCCTTTTCTTTGGGTTATCTGCTTGCCTCTGTGTACAAGCATGTTAAACAGGGAATTAATCGTTGTCTGAGTCGATCAAGTCCAGGAACTGCTGTTGACTCCCTGAATCAGAGCAATCATCCATGAAGTTAAGTTTGCACCTTGGAACAAGTGCAAATCTTTTGAGAACCAGTCCATCCCCTCAAGCAATAGGTTCTTCTCAGATCAACTGAGCAATGATCAAGCCTGCCCAGTTAAACAGCTTAAATTCGTTTCCTATTTAAAAATAAAACACATTAGGGCCACAAAAAAATGCCAGCACACCGTTCTAGTTGCTTCTACCAACATGGCCACATCATTAAATCTCTTCTCTGTGTTCCTGACCATTACACTAGTGAACTGGAAAATCATCCTTAAAGTGTTTATACCCAACATATATACACACAAGTGCACAGCTCACCTATGTGTGTGCTCATTTAATACCTTGGCATTTTTTAAGACTTCTGTTGAAGTTTAACCTATTGGGACTGTCAGAGCCAGGGATTTTGTCCAGAAACTCCAATTGCTAAAAGGAATTTGGACTAATTTAACAATTTCGTTTATGTGACCATTCACTATAAACCAGTGCATTACCATGCAAAAATATAAAAATATAAACACATGTAGATAATGCATATATACACATAACCAAGCATAGCGAGACTTTTTCATTTTTTCTTTTCATTGAAAATAGCTATCTTCTCATACAATATGTGCTGATATATAGTCTTGTAGTTTCCCCTCTCTCAGCTCATCCCAATTCCTCCCCAACTCTCCTCATCTCCAGATCTACTCTCTCACTAGAAAAGAATAGGATTCTAAGAGATAACAACCAAACATGACAAAATAAAATATAATAAGACAAAACAAAAACCATCAGATAAATTTGGGCAAGGTAATCCAACAGGAAGAGTCCTAAGAGGAGGCACAAGAATCAGAAACCCACTTGTTTTCACACTCAGGAGTCATCCCATAAAAATACTAAGCTAAAAGCTATAATATCTATACATAGGATCTGGTGCAGATTTTTGCTTGTTGCTACAGTCTTTGTGAGTTCATATGCACCTTGTTAACTGATTCGGAGGGGCTTGTCTTCCTCTTGTTCTCCATCCACTCTGGCTCTTAAATTCTTCTCCCTCCTCTTCCATGTGGTTCCTTGAGCTCTATGGGGAGGGTTTGGGAGAGGACATCTCATTTAACTTTCTCTCCACGTAAAGCCTGGCTGTGGGTCTCTGCATCTGTTCCCATCAGCTGCCAGAAGAGGCCTCTCTGATGATGACTAACTAAGGCATTAATTTGAGATATTTGAAACACAAAGATTTTTGCTGTTCTTACTTATCTATCATTTTCCAATCTTTAACTTGGACTGTTGGTCTGATTTTTTTAAATAATTAATTTTATGCATTTATTTTTACATACCAATCCCAGTTCTCCCTCCTCTCTTCCCACTTCCCCCACCTTTCCCCCACCTCATCCCCCATCTGCTCCTCAGAGAGGGTAAGGCCTCCTTAAGAAGTCAACTAAGTCTGTCCAATCACCTTGTTGAGGTAGGACATGCCTATGAACACACAAGAAGCTTAGAGAACACCAAATAAACTGTACCAAAAAAGTCCCCTTGCCACATAATAATCAAAACACTAAACATACAGAATAATGAAAGAATATTAAGAGCTGCAAAGGAAAATGGCCAAGTGACATATAAAAGCAGACCTATCAGAATTACACCTGACTTCTTAATGGAAACAATGAAAGCCAGAAGGTCCTGGACAGGCTTTATGCAGACACTAAGAGACCAGGAATGCCAGCCCAGATTACTATACCCAGGAAAAATTTCAAACACCATAAACATAGAAAACAAGATATTCCATGACAAATCCAGATTTAAACAACACCTATGCACAAACCCAGCCCTACACAAAGTACTAAAAGGAAAACTTCAACCCAAGGAAGTCAGCAACATTCACAAAAAATCAGGCAAGAGATGATCTCACAGCAGTAAATCCCAAAGAGGGGAAATACACACACAATGCCACCAACAAAAAAAAAAAAAAAAAAAAAAAAACAAGAACTAGCAATCACTGGTCATTAATATCCCTTAATATAAATTGGTTCAATTTACCTATAAAAAGAAACAGGCTAACAGATTGGATACAAAAACAAAACTCTTGCTTATACTGCATACAAGAAACACACCTCAACCTCAAAGACAGACATTACCTCAGAGTAAAGGGTTGGAAAAAAAAAATCTTATCAAATGGATCTAAGAAACAAGCTGGTGTAACTATCCTAATATCTAACAAGAGACTTCAAACTAAAATCAATCAAAAGAGATAAAGAAGGACATTTTATATTTGTCACAGGAAAAATCCATCAAGAGGAAATCTCAGTTCTGAACATCTATGCCCCAAATACAAAGGTACCCACATTTGTAAAAGAAACATTACTAAAGCTTAAATCACATAGTATAGTAAGCACCACATACTAATAGTGGGAGACTTCATCATCCCACTTTCACCACTGGACGGGTATGCCAGACAGAAACTTAATAGAGAAATAAAGGAACTAGCAGATGTTATGACTCAAATGGACTTAACAGACATATATAGAATATTCCACCCAAACACAAAAGAATATACCTTCTTTTTAGCACCCCGTGGATTCTTTTCAAAAATTGACCACATAATTGGTAACAAAGCAAACCTCAACAGATACAAATTGGAATAACCCCATGTATCTTATCAGATCACTATAGCTTAAAGTTAGAATTCACAGCAACACTAACTTCAGAAAGCCCATAAACACATGGAAACTGAACAATACTCAGCTGAATCACCACTGTATCAAGGAATAAAGAAAGAAAGAAATTAAAGTCTTCCTAAAATTCAATGAAAATGACCTAACAACATACCCAAAACTTAATGGACACAATGAAAGCTAATAGGAAAGTTCATAGCACTAAATGCCTACATGTAGAAGCTGGGGAAAATCCCACACTAATGAATTAACAGAACACCTAAAAGATCTAGAACAAATTAAGCAAAATCACCCAGAAGGAGTAGACAGCAAAAAATAATCAAATTGAGGGTTGAAATCAATTAAATAAAAACAAAGAAAACTATATAAAGACTCAATGAGACAAAAAGCGGGTTCTTTGAGAAAATCAACAAGATTGACAAACTTTTATCCAAACTAACCAAAGAGCAGAGAGAGACTATCCAAATTAACAAAATCAGAAATGAAAAAGGGGACATAACAACAGACATGGAGGAAATCCAGAAAATCATCAGGTCATACTTCAAAAACCTGTACTCCACAAATTTGGAAAACTTTTTTTTAAAATGGTCAATTTTCTGGATAAGTACCACATACCAAAATTAAATCAAGACCATAAAAACAAATTAAGTAGATTTATAACCCATAAGGAAACAGAGTCATCAAAAGTCCCCCAACCAAAAAAGCCCAAGGCCAGATGATTTCAGTGCAGAATTCTGCCAGAATTTCAAAGAAGAGCTAATATCGATGCTCCATTGTTCCACACAATAGAAGCAGAAGGAACACTGTCAAACTCTTTTTACGAGGTTAAAGTTACCTTGATACCCAAACCACACAAATATGCAACTAATAAAGAAAATTAAAGACCAATCTCCCTCATCAACACTGATGCAAAAATACTCAATAAAATAACGGCAAAGTGAATCCAAGAACACATCAGAAACATCATCTACCATGAAGTAGGGCTTCACCTCAGAGATGCAGGGATAGTTCAACATACTAAAATCAATCAATGAACAAACTGAAAGAGGGGGGGAAGCACATGATTATCTCATTAGATGCTGAAAAAGCCTTTGACAAAATCCAACACACCTTCATGACAAAGGTCTTGAAGAGACCAGGGATACAAAGAACATTCCTAAACACAATAAAGGCAGTATACAACTAGCCAACAGCCGTCATCAAAATAAAAGGAAACTCAAAGCAATTTGGCTAAAATCGGGAACAAGACAAGGCTGTTCACTCTCTCCATATTTTTTCGATAGAGTACTCAAAGTCCTAGCTAGAACAATAAGACAACAAAAGGAGATTAAGGGGATACAAATTGGAAAGGAAAAGTCAAACTTTCACTATTTGCTGATTTATGATAATACATACAAGTGACCCCAAAAATTCTACCAGGGAAATCCTACAGCTGATAAATACCCTCAGTAATGTGGCAGGATACAAGATTAACTCAAAAAAAATCAGTAGCCCTCCTATATACAGACGATAAGTGGGCTAAGGAAGGAATCAGAGAAACATCCCCCTTTTCAATAGCCACAAATAATACAAAATATCTTGGAGTAACTCTAACTAAACAAGTGAAATACCTGTGTAACAAAAACTTTAAATCTTTGAAGAACACATGATGAAGATATCAGAAAATAGAAAGATCTCCTATGCTCATGGATATTTAGGATTAACATAGTTAAAATGGCAAACTTACCAAAAGCAGTCTACAGATTCAATGCAATACCCATCAAAATCTCAGCACAATTCTTCACAGATCTCAAAAGATCAATACTAAATTTCATATGGAGCAACAAAAAACTCAGGACAGTCAAAACAATCCTATACAATAAAGGAACATCTGGAGGCTTTACTACTCTTGACTTCAAGCTCTGTTATAGAGCTACAGTAATAAACACAGTTTGGTATTGGCATAAAAACAGACAGGTGAACTAGTGGAATTGAATCAAAGATCCTGATATTAACCCACACAATATGAACACCTGATTTTTGACAAAGAAGCTAAAAATATAAAACGGAAAAAAGAAATCATCTTCAACAAATGGAGCTGGTATAACTGAATGTTGACATGTAGAAGAATGCAAGTAGATATAGATGATAGATAGATAGATAGATAGATAGATAGATAGATAGATAGATAGATAGATAGATATAAAGATACAGATCCATGCACAAAACTCAAGTCAAAAAGGGTCAAAGACCTCAACATAAAAAATAACCCCAATGAACCTCATAGAAGAGAAAGTGGGAAGTACCCTTGAACGCATTGGCACAAGAGACCACTTCCTAAATATAACCAACCCCAGTATCACATAACCCCAGTATCACAGACACTTATAGCAATGATTAATAAATTGGTCCTCCTGAAAATGAGAAGCTTCTGTGAGGCAAAGGACATGGTCAACAAGACAAAATGGGAATGGGAAAAGATCTTCACCAACCCCACATTGAACAAAGGGATGATGTCCAATATATATAAAGAACTCAAAGAACTAAACATCAAACTACCACATAATCCAATTAAAAAATGGGGTATAGAACTAAACAGAGCATTCTCAACAGAAGAATCTCAAATGGCCAAAAGACAGTTAAGGAAATTTTCAACATCCTTAGTCATCAAGGAAATGTAAATCAAAACAACTCTGAGATTCCATCTTATACCTGTCAGAATGGCTAAGATCAAAAACACTGATGACAGCTTATTCTGGAGAGGATGTAAAGTAAGGGGAACACTCATCCATTGCTAGTGGGAATGCAAAGTCATACAGCCACTGTAGAAATCAGTATGGCAATTTCTCAGAAAAATAGAAATCAATCTACCTCAGGACCCAGATATATTCCACTTTTGGGCATATACCCAAAAGAGGCACACTCACACCAAAAAGACATTTACTCAACTATGTTCATAGCAACATTATTCATAATAGCCAGAACCTGGAAACAACGTAGACACCCCTCAACAATAGAATGGATAAAGAAAATGTGGTACATTTGCACAATGGAGTACTAGTCCATGGTTTAAAAAAAAATTACATGCTTAGATTTGCAGGCAAATGGACAGAACTAGAAAAAAAGTCATCCTCCAAACACTGATGTTTCCCCCACCATCTTCCTGTGTTGCTGGAACCTCGATCGCCCATCCCCTTCTTCTCATTCTTTCCACCTCTCCTCCCGACTTTACAGTGTGATCCCCATTGCCTTCCGGTGTGCTTATTCTTTGCTCGCTGCAGAAACTGCTGGAAAGCTTCCGCATCCAACTGCACAATGAAAATTTTTAGAAAAAAAAATCAGTTTTCTTTGTCATTATCCTAAGCCGTGTGGCATGCCATCAGCAACCTGCAGAAATGGAACCAGTCTAAACAGACATGTTCATCCCTTAATCTCACATATCAGACAATAGCTTTCTGATATTGAAACAATGAACCCCAAGAATCTGAAGTCCCTTTCCCTTGAAACCTAATGCTGGGAGAAGAAGGCTAAAGTCTGATGCCATCGGAGGGAGAACGTGGACCCTACAAACGAGGTTTCGTGCAGTTCACAAAGCTTGTCTGACCATGTGCAGGATGGAACTGGAAGCCTACACAATAATCAGTCACTATTAGCTAAAACCAAACCTTGACCTGGACTGCTTAGACGTGCATATCTCCAGCCCTCTGTTTAAACTTTAATCTCACATTAGGATCCAAAGATGCACGGGAGGAGCCATTGGATCTCTTTGTCCCTCTCCTCAATGGAAATTTCATTTTTCTACTTTATACTATTAATTTGACTGTTTTAATTGGCTTTTTGAGGAGAAGTGGCCAAACCTGGCTCTTGGGGGATAGACTGTGAACCCAAGTTCAGTAATAGTAAATATTTATGTAGAATTATTTTATATTATATTATCATAATATAATACAAGTACTATATCATGAGGTACTATAAGTAATCTAAATATGTTTTAAACTCTACAGGAGTATATGCATAAGCTATATAGAAATACTATACTATTTTACATATTGAACATTACAAATTTTGATATATGTGGAGGTGCCTGAAGCTAATATCCTCTTGATGCTGGGGGACGACTATGATTAATATGATAAAGACTATATTGTAGAAATAAGTTAACACCATGGAAACACTGACAATGGTTTATTGTCGTTATTCTCTGTTTATATGGGAATTCTGGGGTGCCTTTGATGGTGATAGAGCATTCTTGACTCTTGGGTTGGCTTAACCCAGTGGATTAGAGTCCTGGGAACTTGCCAGTGACTTCTATGCTCTTGGCTTGCAAATTTGAAGAATAAAATTCCAAGACCAGTGAGGGTAAATCTTACAAAGAGGTGTTTTATTACAGAAAAGAAAAAGGCGGAGTCCCTGTACAGCAGGTAGGGTGCCCTGGAAGGGGATACCGCGAGCCTCTCTGTTTTGGGCATAACAAGACTTTCCTGGATTGAGGAACGGGAGTGAGCTGGCAGTTGCCATTAGGATGTCCAGGCACCTCTGAGTTGCAGTCATGTACTCTGTACGGTTTGCCAGGAAGGAGAACTCCTTCGCAGGGCAAGCGACAGGAAAATCTAGATCTCTGCCTCCTGCCTCCTGCCCCCCCCCCCCCCCCCCAAACACACCTTTCTGCCATCCCTGGCTTCTGTCCCTGACAGAATCAAAGACGTTTTAGTTTAAAACCCTCAAACACCCTGGGTCTCCAGCAAGCGCAAGGCTGCTCACAGGTTCAAAGACATTTTTAGCTTCTAACCAAGAAATTGTTCACATTTCAGGGTCCTTTTACCTTAAAACTACCTGGTCAACTTCCAACTCCAGGACTCAAGACTAGGAGACCACAGCCAATGAACTTGAGCACTCAAAATAAACCTAGTGTGACCGGCTCCCCTTAGGCATGAATAATCACCAACTTCTGCAGGAGCAGAAAGCCTCTCCCTGGAGCCCAGCTGACTTCTACTTGCAGCCCTTCGTAGCTCTGCTCCACTCAAGACAATCTGGGCCCAAATGAACACGCGTGTCTTACTACTCCTCTCCCTCTTCTGCCTCGTTGTGGGTGAGTCCCAGACCTGAGGGATGAGCTCCAGGGGCAGGATCAAGGGAGATGCGATGAATCTCCTTGTGCGCAGCCATGTCTGTATGGGCAGAGCTTTGAACCTATTTAGGAGGAAAGAAAGGGAGATGGCCTTCGGAATGCTCTCTCTGCTTTTTCTTCCATCTTCTTTGTCTTTTCCAGCACTCTGTCATATCTCTCTGGGTGTGTAGGCCAAACCCCATAATCCAGATGCCTAGGAAAATTTCCTTAAACCATCCACTCTACTCTTAAATCTACGTTGCCCAGGGAGCTGGCCATTCAAAAATATTGTGAGTGTCTTAGTCCTAGACATTGGTTTCTGATAGCTATTCCAGGGGCCTAGTTACAAGGCATTTTGAGAAGAAATTCTGTACATCCTGGAATTGAACAGATTTTCCCAAACTTGTCCAGTCGCTGTCCTGAATTCTCTAATTTGATACGTGGAGACAAAACCTCCTTACAAGGACCTATGAGATCAGAGTACAGTGTGTTAGTTAAATCTGATATAATTTGAAACAACATGGTCCTAATAAGATGGTCAATAAAAATTACATTCTTTCTATTTTTAGCACCATGAGGACATTTTTAAAGTCTTTAGCATGTGTGCATATGTGCATACGTGCATGCATGCATGCATGTGTATGTATGTTGCACATGCCATAGTATGCTTGTGATCAGAGGACAGCTTCTGAAAGTAATTTCTCTCCTTCTACAGTGTGGGTCCTAAAGTTCAAACACAGGTCCTTCAGGCTTGCCAGAAAATTACCAGCTAAACCAGCTGACCAGCCTCTACAAATAATTTTCAATTGAACCCATATTTTAATTATTCACTCTTCCAGAACCTCCCAAAGGTATTCCTCACTGACCATTTTTAAGCAAGAGGAATAAAGGGTGTAGAAGTGGAATCTTTACACAAATTAAGGGCTAGAGAGATAGCTCACCTGCCCAGGAGTGAGGACCTGAGTTCCGTCCCCAGAACTACCCTAAAACAAAGCCAGATCTTGTGCTGTGTCCTTGTAACTCCAGTGCTATGGAGGCAGAGAAAGGCAGATCCCTGAAGCTCACTGGCCAGCCAGTTGAACCAAGTAGATGAGCCCTGAACCAGTGAGAGAAAGCTATCCAAAATGTAAAGACTGAGAATCCTTTCCCATGCTCAATGGCCTTTTATCTCCATCACTAAAGGCAAAAGAGTAGACAAAAGGTTCAACTGTCGCTTCCTAAACACTCAACCATCAGTTCTTCACCTGCCCAGTGACCCTTGGAAGGCCGCCCCACCCACCTCTGCCATCTCCCTCCCCACGCCAAGTCCCTGCCCTCACATCAAGCTCTGTGCTCTCACCAGAAGCAACATCACTGACCTGTGTAACATGCCACCTCCGCACACCGTCAGACCACTGCAGAAGAGGCTTTGGCATCTGCCATGCTCAGAAGTACGAAACATGCATGAGCCTAAGGATCTACTCCAGTAAGTGGCAGGGTGCGGAGGCTACAAACCTATGAAGGTGCAGGATGAAAACAGCCACACAGATTTTTACTTCGCAGATACCAAAGCCCTGATTTTCTCGCGTTCTAGCAGGAGAAGGAATGAAATGGGTGCATAGCATTGAGTTATCAGGGACCACAGGAAAACAGGTCAATTTTACGGCTTTCCAGCAGTTTATGCATTGGAGCTCTTGGGAAGGGGACACTGGGAAGCCATCCATAAGCCTGTCTAGTTAAGACCATGTATGTTCTGCCTTGAATACTGAGGTCACTGCCTAACATCTTTGGTTCCTTCCTATTGCAGAAAACACTCTCCAGATATCATACATGGTGTGTCAGAGATTCTGCAAGAACTTGACGTACAACTTCAACAATCGGACTTATGTTCATAAATGTTGTAACTACGATTATTGTAACTTCAAAATCTAAGATATCCGCCCCCCAGACCTCATTCTAGAAGGTCCAGGAGTCTTTCTTCCTTTATACTCTACCTATCCTGCCATTCTGCCCCATATGTATGCAAGATTCTCCTGGCTCCTTCAGTTTGGATCTCACTTTGGACAAGGGATGGTGGGAAATGATGGTTTTAAACAATAGATGTTTTCCTACTGCTAGAATTGGCATCTTTATCCACTAAAAGACCTGTCCCAAAAAACTCTGCACAGAAAGATATGAAACGGGACCACCCTAGAACTCTTTACTGACTTAGATAATTGAGGTGGATCAGAAAGCCTCCAATAAAAAACCCACAAATATTCTTTAGTTGAACATCCCGTGCATCACCATAACAGTTCAGCAGAAATAGAACAAACTGGAGGTGGGCACCGAAGATTTTGCTCTGTGAATGCAAAGTTATTTCCTTTGGCAGATAGTGCCCATTTCAGACTCAGTCATTCTGATGTTCTTGACAAAGTATATTTTCACGCATTTTCACAGGGCATAGTAAACATAGGACTTCGGCCTCAGTAGCATTCCCAGATCACATTAGGCCATGAGTACACCTCTAGAGATGAGTGTCAATAGTACATTGCATCACATTTAGTCTCCTTCTCCATTCTTTTCCCCCTTTGCCAGCCACCTCTCCTCCTTCACTGCAACACTCACTCTCCCAGTAAAAGTGGGCTGTGCTTAGTACGACCCATGGCCCCAGCAGGAAGCCTTTCAAAACTCCTCATCTGTGCTGCAGACTGGTCGCTCAGGGGCATCTTTATCCTCCCACAGCATCTCCCATGAGCCTCAGATCACCATGTAGAGCCCAATGGACCTAGGACTCCAGTCCTTTACAACCTGTCTACAGATAATAAAACCACTTCACATAATTGTGTACGAGTGTGTTCTTTCTCAGTGGGCCCACACAGGTAACACACTCATGGTGGCTCTAAACAGCGGCCCAGGATGCAATGGGTGCAATCACTCAACTGCTGTTTCTTACAGTTGGCATTGTGATGTTCTTTGCTGGTCTTCACAAGTGGGAGTCCTAGTCTGGCATCTTCTGTACATTGTAAGCCCTCCCTCTGGCATCTAGCATGAGTATGTCCCCAAAGAACCTTACAATTATAGATATTGCTCTAAGATTCCAAACTAAACATTGATTGTCATGTATTCAATGACTATTCACTGGAATCCTTTTGAGATTGAGAACTATAACTGAACTTTGAGACCCATGAGTCCCAAACCACTATATCTCCCAAAATAGATCTAAAAACTTTGTTTCTTCTAGTTAGACCAACCTTGTCTGTGCATTGCAAGTCCTTTCTTCCCTCCACTTAGAAAGTATTGGGTTTACTTTTAAGTAAAAAGGTTGCTATTTGTCTCATCCTTCCTAAAATAATTTTTTTGCTTTGAATTTACACGTGTGCATATCACTTAAGAATATTTGATTTTTCAGTTTGAATTAAAAGTCCTGTGAAGAACCTAATAAAAAAAAACTTCCCTAATTTTCAGAATGAAAGAGAATAAATTAGTCCATCATTGCATGACCTCCACTGCCTATGAAATTGAGTTGTCCTGGAGACTGCAAATCGGGATGCCATCTCCTAGCCTTTCCTAGCCTTAAGCTGCCAGACCTTAGGAGAAAGCAAATGGGAGAGAAGACGCTGACAAAAAAAAAAAAAAAAGTTCCCACATGAATGAGGAAGGTCATTGGTTAATTAATAAAGAAAATGCTTGGCCCTGATAGGTTAGGACATAGATGGGTGGAATAAACAGAACAGAATGCTGGGAGGAAGAGGAAGTGAGCTCAGACGCCATGCCTCCCCTGTCCAGAGCAGACACAGTGAAGCAAGCCGCCAGGTCAGACATGCTGAATCTTTCCTGGTAAGACTGGTGCTACACAGATTACTAAATATGGGTTAGGCAAGAGTTAGCCAAGAAGAGATCAGAGCTAATGGGCCAAGCAGTGTTTAAAATAATACAGTTTGTATGTTGTTATTTTGGGTAAAGCTAGCCAGTGGCCAGGAGCCAGGAGGCAGAACACAGCCCGCAGCTCCCTCAACACCCACAGAAGGACACAGACAGCATACTGGGTGGCTCATTCCCACAGCTGCCAGGTCACAGCTGTACTTACAGCATCTCTCAAGTAAGGAACAGACTGTGCAAGCATTCACCCAAAGATGAAGCAGAGTCCCGGCTGCAGCTAGCACTGAAGTGAGGTATGAGAGTGACAGGGATGGGATTACAATAGCTGCTACGGAAGCCAGAATTTTCAAGTGGTAAACTCTGCCCATCAGCTTTTTGCATTTCATGAATTTATTTATAGTGGGAATTTTGTGTTTCTTTGCTTTGAGGCAGGTCTTCACTGTGCAGCTCAAGCTGATCTCAAAACTCGTTTTCCTCTGGTGCCAACCTCCTGTGTGCATGAGCCACCAAAAAAATAAATAAATAAAATTTTAAAAATATATGCATGGATGAAATTCTCACACAATAAAAATTGAAGAAAAATAGAGTTTTAAAACATTGAAATTTTCATTTGAGGGATTCTCCTAGTTGACTTCAGCAGTCAACTTGACACGGCCCATAGTTATGTGAGGTAGTCTCAAACAACCGGGAGATTGCATTGATCGTATTGGCCTGTCTGCGAGTCTGTAGGACATTTTCGTGATTGCTAGTTGATAAAGGAGATTCAAGCCCACTGTGGTCACTGCCATCCATGGGCAGACAGTCCTGTATTGTATCAGAAAGTTGTCTGAGCACAAGTCAGAGAGAGAAAGCCAGGAAGCAGCATTCCACCATACTTTCTGCTTTGATTCCTGTTTGAGTTCCTTCTTGAATTTCCCTCAGAGACAGATTGTGACTTAGAAGTATAAAATAAAAGGAACCCTTCCTCTCCCTGTCAAATTAGAGTATTTGATTTTTATTGGTTTATTCATTTTCCTATTCCTTCTGTGTACAGATCTTTCCCATCAGTATTCCGTGGCATAACAAACTTCAGAAGTGCACTTTTCCTATATGTGAAAATTTCTGTCAGTCTATTTTAACATTCCTCATGAAATTTTTGGGCCATTTCAATTCTAACCTTTTCCATTTTGTCTTGTTTCCTTTTCTAAAAATGTATTTAATATGATCAAACTCTGGGTAAATCATATAAACTGATCTTTTTTATTGAAGTCTTACATTTTTAATACCACGAAGAATATTTTTGTTGACTATTTGAGGGTTTTTCCTTTTGATTGTTTGTCTTATTTGACTACAATATGACAGATTTTGTTGCCTTATGCTTTACAAACTTTGGGTTCTTCAGCATGTTTCTTATAAACAGGAACATTTCCCCCATATCCACAAGATGCTCATCGCAATTGCAAGTTTATGACTAAACGATGTATCATCTACAGGCTAAGTTTCAACAATCTCTCAGTAACATTTCTTTGATGAAATAATTCAACCCACAATCACAATATCACCCTTAGTTACCACATCTAAGTAGTCCCCCCAGTCCAGAATAGTTTCACAATCTTCCTTTTGTTTACATGCTCTTGATATTTTAACATTTCTGCAGTTCCTCACATTGGATCAGTCTACAGTATCTGCATGACTCCGTTCAGGTGGTGGACTGCAGCCATGAACAAGACATGATGGTGAACAAAAAAAAAAAATCACAGACTGGAGAGCCTAAAGATATACAACCATACACCCTGGGTTGGAGCTGGCAACACAAGGTAGTCATGAAAACAGGAGATCTAAATGAAGACATGCAGAGAAACTCAGGTATTCAGAAACTCAGACAGTGAAGAGCTCAATCGTGGGTTGGTGGGTAGCCCTACCCTTTTGGTGAAGAAGAGAGTAACATAAGAAATTGGTGACCCTGAACCAGAAGTAGGGCTTCTTCTTGGCTTTGAAGTTATCCGGTTGGGGAAGTGAGAACACTAAACTCATACTCCCTACAGTCTCCTCCTTTGCATGGGGTGTTTAGTGTTGAACGGGATCAGAAAGCACTGAGATGAGTCCTCTAGTAACAGCTCTAAGGATTCTGCGTCCTCTACAACCAACACACTTAGGGCACCCTTGACTTAGACATTTGTGACTCCAGTGTGTACAGTCTGAAACAAGTGAGATCCATACTTGCCCACATGATGCAAAGCTAATACTGGTCAGAAGTGGTTTAGGATGCACACAGAAGGGAGACCTTTAAACCTGTTTCAGCATAGTTGAGCAGCTGACATTTAAGCAAGCTGAAACATAACAGTGTCTAATTTCAACTCACCACACCTACCACCTGCCAGGCTCCAATATTTAGAGAACTCAGAAAGAAGTTGTTCATTTTTCAATGAGACATCAAAAATGAATCAATTATTTAAAGTCTAAAGTATTCCTAAAATCAGTTAGGAAATAATAACCTTTGAACACATATGCACATTATAGAAGGCATGGTAGGTCCTTTGTGCTCATAGATAAGCACTAAAAATGTTAAAAACATGGGACTGTTCTGTCAAAGGAAAGGATACATAAGCTGCCTTCCCACCACCCACCCCAAGAAGACTGGCAGCAGATGCACTTAATAGCCTGGCAACCTTTGAGCCCTATAAGTGGCCAAGATCACACCAGATCCTCCCCCAGACACTTAATGCAAACCTGTTTTTCTCAATCAGTAAACCCATCTTTATGTAAGGTGTTACATGAACTTTACAAAGTATTTTAATTTAGTCACATTTAATCTTTATTTAACTTACTTTATGCTTTATTGTGCACATGGGATTGAGTTAATAACCACCAGGGAAGTTTTCACCAAATTGTGCTGTGTTTAAATATGCCTAAGATAAACTATTTAGGGACAGAGTCTCAACATTCAAACCAACACAGTCTACTTTGTCCTGTTGAAGCAAACTACCTACCATGTCTAGAATCATGAACTGAACATATCAGATCCTCGGGACCACAGCAGGAAGACGAATGGCCTGACTGGATGCCACACCCAGGAGCAGTCAGAGAGTAGT